TCTGCAGTGCTATCAAAATTAAATTCAGCAGACTCTTGAGATAATGAATGCCATTCTTATCATAGTCTATCATTTAATATATATTCATGCTATTGATATATCCATAGACATACAGTGGGAGTCAGCAGCTCTGCAGTCTTCGCAGCTTCCTGGTCATATTTGTCAGTATGGGAGACTCATATGCATCCTTCTGTTGTACATGTGTGTAAAGTGCTATCAAATTACAGCCGACTTATGGTGACCCTGCAGTGTTTTTGAGGCAAGAAACTAACAGAGGTGATTTGCCATTGCCTTATTCTGCATAGTGACCCTGGAATTCCTTGGTGATCTCCTATTCAAACACTGTCTAAGGCCGACACTACTTAGTTTCCAAGATCTGATGAAGTCAGGGCTGTAGTCTACTTGTTATTGCCAACCTCCAGGGGTTGGGTAGAGATCTCCTGATATTACAATTGATCTCTAAGTGACAGAGATCAGTTCACCTGGAGAAAATGGCTGCTTTGGAAGGTGGACTCTATGGCATTATACCCCATTGAGAGAATGTTTCATTCTTGGAATGTGGTGGGGCTCAGGGGGCAACTCATAAACTAAATGGAGAAGAGGGTGTGGCAGAGCCCATTAGGCCTGTGCAGAGCTTGGTGTTTCCAGGTGGGGTGGGACCCTTCTGTTCAGTGTAACTTCTGCCCTCACTCCAGGTTAGAGTTGCCAGGTCTGGGTTGGAAAATACCTGGAGACTTTGGGGGAGGATCCGGGAGAGGGCAGGGTTTGGGGAGGGGAGGGACCTCAGCATAGTCCAATGCCATAGAGTCCCCCCTTCAAAGCAGCTGTTTCTCCAAGGGAGCTGATCTCTGTCAGCTGGAGATCAGTTGTAAAAGTGGGAGATCCCTAGGCCCCACCTGAAGGCTGGCAACCCTACTCCAGGTAAGACTGAGGGAAAATACTGGCTGGATCTAAGCCATAATTTTAAAATAACAGGATAAAAAGCTAATATGTCCATAAAGTGAATACAAAGGTAGCTTATTTATTTTCCCTGTGTATTAACTGACAATCACAATATTTTCTTATTTTCATCAGTATAAATTCCATAATATGATATGAAGTAAACAGAAAACAAATTCTAAATTCCATATTCTTTCCCAGAGATTTTCATCAGAGAAAAAATTGTATTAGAAAGAGTGGCACCAATTCTCTCTGGTGTCTACTAGTGGTTTGGGGAAAGAAAAGAATCCAGTTGGCACTCATGAAAAATATTCCTTTGTTTTTGAGGTACTCTAGATCAGGGGTGTCAAACATATGGCCCACAGGCCAGATTCGCCCCTGCAAGGCTCCAATCCGGCCTGAGAGCAACTGACTCTGTGTTGCTTCCTGCTTCTAAAATTGCATCTCCTTTTGGTCAGTCTCTCCTATTTCCTGCTTCAGAGGAGAGAGAGAAAGCCTTCCTTCGATTGGCTGAGAAAGAGCTAGAGAAAGGGGGGAAATGACATCTCGTGGGACTTTTAAGAAGACCAGCAATGTTTTATTCCAGGTATAAGCTTTTGTGTGCAAGCACACTTTTTCTTCTTCAGAGACAGAGAGGGAGGGTAAGAGCCAGAGGGAGCATGCTAGGGAAAG